TTTGTGTTATGAAATTTTGGGAGCAGTAGTACCTAATTCCAAAGATGAAGGGATAGCTTCTGCACCATTTCTTAAAAGAGATAATCTGTACTTCAGCTAACGCAATGTACCAAATAAACTATTGAAATATTATATATTTTTCATATGTTTTGCTTATGTATACTTGGATTAACTTAATTCTAATTGTGTTTCACAATCAAGGACAAGTCAACTTTTCCTTAAATCCAAGCTAATAATTGAGATCATCCATGGCATAATATTAAAATTTAGAATTCCATCGAATCACAAATTGCCATGCACTGGACAATTTCAGCACTGGGTAAAGCGACAAGTATATTTTGAGATCTACATTGAAAATTCTGTATGGACATCAATAAACAATTCCCATTTTGATTCTTTTCTTCATTACCAACATGAACCTGGAATCCTTTTTATAGATATTATATTATCTTGTTGCACCTAAACGACTAATCTTAATTTTGAAAGTGAAACAAGAAGGGTTTCTAGAGGAAAGATGAAAAAGGAAGAAAACAGGAAGATTCAGAAACAATAGAGCACAAACCCTTCTCATTATTCAGCAAGAAGGAGTATTTTGTAAATTGTAATCTTGCCGCCTGGAAGACTAAACATGGGATGGTGTTGTATTAGGCGGGGTTGGTGCTGAGGCCACACGCTTTCCACGCTCGGACCGGCTGTTCTCAGCAAACTTGAGACTTGCTGAGTGCATGCCCTTATTCTTTTCGTCCTCGTTCCACTCTGTGGAATAGTAATGTTCTTCGGTGGACTTAGTTACATCTTTTGAAGGTGGAAGGAACATGCTACCCCATTGTGGGAAATGCACCAGAGTCACAGGAAGAGTGCAAGCCACGATCATGACTCCCATCCATGTAAGACCTGCTGCGGTGGAAAATCTTGTGGTTGAGAAGAAAATTAGCTGTGTCAATCCAGATCCGAAGTTTCCACCTGCCCCTGTTAGACCTGAAATGATTCCCAAAGATCGTCGTGAAATAAATGGAATGATGCCAAAAGTGGCTCCGCATGCAGCTTGAGCTCCAATGGAGAAGAGGATCATTGCCAAGACAGCAATGGGAAGTGTATTGGCACGGCCCAGCCAGATACAGAAGACACCTCCAAGGGTTTGCAGAATCCATAGGACCCATAGCCTGCCTCTCATACCAAACAACTGGGCTGCTTTGTCAGAAGCGTAACCACCAAATGGCCGAGCAAGAATGTTCGCCATTCCAAAGGTAGCAGCGATTGTTCCCGCAGTGCGGAGTTTGAGATTAAATCTGTTGGTTGCAGTAGATTTTATTGTTAGTTTTTTTCTTTTTTTTTTAAAGAAAGAAATAAAGAGAGTTTCTTTTACTAGTACATATTTGTAAAAAAGGAGACTTGCCTGTCGTAGAAATATTCAGCAATGACATTATCTGTCGACAATTCAACTCCCATAGAGTAGCCATAGAGAAGGACAAAAATCCAGGTCCTGTAATTTGTGATGGCATACCATAGCACCTGAAATCATAATACCATTTTTTAAGCAATTGCAAGGAATTGATATTATGAAAATTTTCGAGGAAATATAAATGTAAATGTATATATATACACATATATATATTTACCTTGCCGAATTTATCCTTAACAACATCACCCTTCTTTTGTAGACTGCTAAGGTTCCCATCTGGCAAGTCCTGGCCAAGGGTTAAGACCAAGATCCCCATGATGACATTAAGCCATCCAGGAATGAAGAAAGCAATTCTCCAGGCAGTGAATGGAGTAGCTCCAGCTTGTCGAATAATGTCATAAACTATGGGCATCAAAAGTTGAGTTGCACCTCCTCCCATGTTACCCCATCCGGCTGCAGTTCCATTGACAAGCCCAATAATCTTGCTATTAAACATTGTGCTCATCCAGTACTGGCAAGAGACAAATGTAGCAAGGGAGAATCCGATCATAAATCGGACAGCAATATAACCTCCCGCGTTTGAAACAAATGACATACAAAAAACGGTCGGAGCTGATAACATGATCAAAAATGCGCATCCATAACGAGGCCCCAAAAGGTCACAAACAGCACCCATTACAAGCCTTGAAAATATACTTCCAGAAACAGAAGCAACCCCAGCATTCCCAATATCTTGTTTTCTTAAATTGAGGTTGTCACGGATAATCGGAACAAGGGGTGCGGCAGCAAATGTGGAGACGAAGCAAGTGAAGAAGGAGATCCAGGATAAGTGAAAAGTTCTCATGTGTGGATTAGCAAAAGAGAAAAGCTTGAAGACTTTGGCTTTGTGCTCAGAATCCACAGGCAGGCCAAACTTAGCGGTTGTATCAGTTGGGACCATAGGTGAAGCAACTGATATGGCAAAAGCTGGTTCCTTTCCAGTGACTCCATGCATGGAGCTTCCCGGGGATCCCTCAATATGGCTCATTTTCACTCTTTTTTTCTGGCTTGCTCCTTTTTCTCTCTATGGAAAGTGGAAAGTGTACAAAAGAAGTTCTCCAATTGTTGTTTAGACAAAAGGAAAGTGGCCCGGTATTTATATAGGGTTGCCGTTGACATTTTAACTTGTTAAGAGCTATTTAAAGAGCTATTGGAGATTCCAAACGGTTCGGAAACTTTAAAAAGTAGTATAATATAATCCACTTCGCCGCATCTATGAACAGGAAAAGTCTCGTCGTATATCCCAAAGGATCAAATAACATACTCTGTACTAGGGTCCATTAGCTGCTTAATTACCACACTAACCTCAGATTATCAATAATAATCAATGATCATTAGTTCATTACTACTATTTTCCAAGTTCTTATTATATATGGTATATATATATATATATATATATATATATATATGACTTTAAGTATCGAGATAAGGGCATTAACATTTGCCCTGGAAGACGTGTAGTGCTGTGGACTCGATGGCCAAGCAGCTATAATAAAGAACTAATTAAGCAGTGGTTTCGTCATACGGAAATTAAGGATATTTAAAGAAATTAATGAAGTTTGTGGTCCTGCTGATTTTTAACCCAATAAACTAGCTAGGAAGATTATGGCCTTGGTTAATGTAGGGCTTTTGTCATTTTTTATGGTTTCAAAGCTAAAACATATATATATATATATATATATATATATATATATCTTCGAGTGATCGACTTCTAGCTTCTTTAAAACAGGAAGGAAAAAAAAAAGGGAACAAAGAATTACATGATCCTTCGCATCCTCTAACAATGGAAGAGTAGTCTACCAGCCACCAGGCCTTTCAAAAGATCTTAACATGTATGCCACAGGAGTATTTCATGATGGCAAGATCGTGTTTATAGAAAATAAATAATATTTAATAGGTCGGCCAAAACAAGAATTGTGTTTCAAAAGGTTTTTGAGCCCTCCAAGATCATCAATATTCTGAAAAGATTGAATTGCTCTAATGCTAATCATTCTGATGTTGGCAATTGTAATTTTCACGGTAAAACTTCGACTTTTAGCCATGCTAGACCTTTCTCAGTTTGTTTCCTATCATTTAGTTGATATTTATATTTGCATTAGATCAGATATCACCCGAGGCAACCGCTTGCTAAATGGTAATAGCCGCCGAACGAAGCTGTTTCCTGGAAGAACGGGAAGTATACATATGTGCTTACCTCATGATCTCTTCCATGTTGATAAATCTTTTCTGCGTTTGTCTCTAACATCGTACTTATTTCGTTGTTTAATTATTTAACCCAAGAAGACAACCTATAGATAATTAATGTCAGACAAAATTAGTTACGTACTAAAATTCTCAAAACAGGAACAATAATGCCAAATAAAATAATGCTACCAAATGCATAGGATATGTCCAGCACTACTTGAGCTAGCTTGTCATCTCAAACCCTGGTTAGCTTCACCCAAATTTAAGTCAATGCCTTGCAATTTCCACGTCAACTGATAGCAAATGACTTGGATGAATTGTTCAAGAGTTCGTGTAATTTTTTAATTCTATAAATGGAGTTAAAAGCCACCACATGTCTCATTTTAGTCTTCAAATTCAAACTATTTCCTTTTAGATTATCATGTCACGAGCTACTTGAAATATTAAAAAACTTAAGCTTCCTTTTTTTTCTTCATTCAAAGAAAATGCCCAGAATCTCATACTTCAGGTTAAGTCAAATGGTACAATTTTCCATAATGCATAAACTGGAGTTTTTCTTTTGTCCTCATAGTTTGGTTACCATGATGCAGACAGAAACTATATGATATAGCTCATTCTTACCCTTTCACAGGCTCTGAGGGTTTTTTGGGAGTATTATTTTCAGAAGAATATGAACAGGATGACTTGGTTTATGTTGGAATTTGTTGGAGATGAAGAGGAAAGTAACTTTCGTTGAAGGCTTGAAGCCCTTTTTTGCACTGTTTAAGAGCACGATATCATGAAATGACTTGGATTGTTTTCATTCTTTTAAGTGCTCAAATTGAGAAATTCTAGCACTATCCTCTTTTAACCAAGGCAATCAATTACAGCCACATAAAAGAAAAAGATTTATGATGTAACTTTATCAAGTTAAATAGCCAAGGCAAGTATAATTAAACTAATTGATTTCGAAAACCACAATATAAAAGCACCTAGCCATAAAAATCCAGCTCAAGCTTATCTCGAGGGGCCATAAACTTAAAGCATGAACTATGATTAATATACAATCATGCAGAGATAGCATTGACTTCTGCTTTCCTAAGATACATGGACACTTGGTTTGAATGCTTTCGTTTGCTTAGGAAGATAAGTACCCACCGTACACAAGAATTTTTTGAATTATTTCTTAGAATTCATGCATCCAACCAATTCCCAAATGCATTTTAATATATTTTTTTAACCAATCTTGGAATAAAAATGAAAAAAATAAAGTTGGAAGAATGAAGATAAGCGTGAAAGGACTCGGCTGATCTCTAAGCACCTGTCTATTGAATAGGTGGATAGCTAGTAATCGGATGATTGAGGTGGTTAGCAACACAAAAGTCTTATCGTTTGATAAAACACAAAAGAAGGGTATCTGATGGCAGGAATACCCATCAAACTGAACCAATCCATTAATTCAATGCCTACAAAATACAAGAGCTTTAAGTTTAGAACTATACCTAGGCAGCAAACAAGATCACAACACTACAAATTCTGGTTAAAAGAATAACGAGAGAGCATATGTATATATAGCAACTCCACCCTCACAAAATAACTGGTATTTCAATTCAAATGTTAACTTTCAGGTTCAATGGACAACTATTAAATCATCAATTGCCCTGAAACCAATAAATATTCTTTTTGCTAATTCTGTATTTGAGTTTATTGCAACTAATTCCATCACAAGGGCAAACCAACCAACCCAACGTGAAGGTCTATTCTCTATTCATATGTTGAGTACTGGTACTCCCCCTTCTTGGAACAGGTTTGTATAGCACAACAGTAACATACTTCGAACGGAAGCGGTGAGTGAACCCAAGTGCCACCACAGATCTTGGTGCCTCTCGCTTTTCAATATAAAGATGATTTAGAATCACATTTCCTGGCATAGGAAGACTCCCAGAAGCATTCATACTTGCGGGGTAGCCAAGCAAGGTATGATGCAGGTGTGAAGGGACAACTGGCGGGTCGCGTGCATCATCTTCATTTCCAGGGTACACATTATTATAACTTGAATCAGGTGATCTTGGAACTTCAAACCCCATGACAGTTGCTTCATCCTGCACAAAAGACTGCATGCTTAAACTCTGCCAATTCTTAATGGTCCAAATAATCACCCAAGGTTCCATGACTTACTTTTTCTTCACCATATTGGTTGTTCATACTGAGAAGTGACAATTTAGCCTAGCAGGGCCAAATCATAAACGAAGTAAAATTACTATAGCACAAGGGAGCCTGAAATAAAGCAATTATTTCTACCATAAGCATTTCAGAGTTTATCAAAGCAACATGTAAAACTAACAACTAAAGAAATACACTAAACACTGTTGACGTTACAAAGAAAAGCAACCTAAAAGGCTCCATTCAAACTAGAATGAGCAATACTAAAACATTATTGTCTGTATGAAAGTTTTTAACAGGCCAACTAAACCCCAGTCAAAAAAATAAAAAATGAAACTTTAAGCTCATCTGCCGTGTTGAATTGCCTTCTAGAAGACTAGAAAACACATTCTGGATCCATCAGAATTAGATGCAATAAGAAAATTATTTAAAGTCACTACTAGCTTGTTTGTTAATTATGGAGCTGAGAAACATCAAACTTATTTGTGTTTAAGCCCCACAGACTCAGATAAAAATGTAATGCCAAACCCAAAGTCTTCATTTCATCTAATCCAAGAATAGTGCACGTGGATAGCACATAATCTGATACCATGATTCTCACTGATGGATACCTAAACAAGTGTCATCACATCTAAATCTGAGAATTCAATATTCTTTGGAAGCAATCAGCTTTGGTTTCATTCTTCATGAAGAATAAATATTTCTACTAGTTAAGACAGCCTGAAAATACAGATCATAAATTAAAGTACAAAGTAATCACAACACTATGTCCTACTGTGAATAGCAAGTGCAGAAGACAGCAAAATGCTGCAGGGCAACCTTGAATATAAATGGTGCATGTGAACTCAAACGACTATAGGAAAAAGTTGCAAAAAAGATATGCTTAGAAAATGGAAAAACAAAAACAAAGAATAAACCATTAAGATCAGCAGAGATGCGATAAAAAGCTTATAGACTATGTCAAGAATATAAGGAGGGGAGAGGACAGAGGATGAATCATATGTGATGGTGTAGATATTAGAATTAGAAAGGCCTTTATCACTATAATAAGCCAAAGCCATTCGACTTAAGCATCAAGAATCTTAAGCATCCTTTGTTTGCTCACCAGTAACATAACAAGGGTAGCAATCACAGAGATGAATCTTCTTATTTAGTTAAAATTCCACAGAAAGGTAACAAGTAGAAACAAAATTCCTTACAGAAATACAAGACAACTCTAGAGCAACATCAAAGCCAGAGAAATTAATTTGTTAAATGAAAATAAACAAGAGACTAACCCGATTTGGTTGTGGCCCAATTGCCTTCAATCACCAACACCCCAGCTTTTCAATACCATGTCTCTCCTAAAAAAACCAACCTTTACAGTATAATAGTTTAATAATTTTTCAATGTCACCAAGCTTACTTGCAAGACTAAAGCAAGCAAACCCAGATTAAATCAAAAGCAACCCATTAAAAACTTAGCAAAAAAAAAAAAAAACCCCAACAATTTAAACCCCTAGAAAATAAATTTCAGTTAAAAAAAAAGAGATGGGATTCCGAAAATAAGAAATATAAAGCAACCAAGTTGCGAAAAGAAGAGAAAAAAAATTAAATACATAGAAATTAGAAAGACTGTTCTTACCCTGAGAAGAAGAGAAAATTTTCCAGGGAAACAATAAGTAATTGTTGGAGAAGAACCCAAAAAATAAGAAAATCTACCAGTGGTAGGGGAATCCGCCACGAGAATCTGCCATGAATATTGTTTTATTAAAAGCATCAACGATAATAAAGAAATTATAAAATAAATAAGAAGAGAGAAGCATATGAATAATAATTGATTAACCTTTTTTTCTTTGGAAATTCTCAAAAAATTTTATATGAAATAAAAATTGTGAGATTAGAAGGTATCCGATCTCAACAAAATATATCTATAGGAATTAAAAAAAAAAAAAAGCAAATAAACTAAGAAGTAAAAGGAAATTTCGAGGCAGAAACAAGTTTTAGGCGTAGCTTAAGATTGCAAGACACGACCATGCAGAGCTATGACTCTGTTTTTGTATGATACCTTTGTCTTTTGATGGCTCCTGTCGTTGTCCGAAATTGACGTTTCTCTCCTTTCTTGCTTTGAACTTTCCTCTCTCCATTCCACTCTCTTTAATAGTGTGATGGGCCCAAGACCAAGAATTGTGCGACTCAATGGCAACGAGTTCGAGCCCAATATTGGTATATCTGCTTTTAGTCTAACCCAATAGAGGATGGATCAGGGGTTAGCACAGTTTCTCGATTGATGGGCTAACCAACTTGCTTGTAGACTGCACTTACCCTCCTATGGCCCAAGTAATTGTGCGGTCTCCATGGACCAAATGCTGTTCTAGTTTCACTCTTAAGACATTTTCTTTTAGCATTTTCCTATAGAGGCATCCTCTATTACCACGCTGCTTTCTGATAATCACACTTTTATGTTGTCTCTTGTTCTGTCTCTCACACTGAACGACAAGAAATTTTGCTTCTATCAATGTGTCTGAAATAAATTAGAGCCATTTTTATATTCCAAAATCAGATGGTTATGAAATGTTTTGATTCGCCTTTCAAAGTTAAACCTTAAAACTATTTAAGCTAATTTATTATAATGAAGCTGACACGGAGATGAAGAGCTTAATAAAATTGTTTAGATTAGCATTGGTGCGAAGAAAACAACACTATCCCTGAACAAGCATGCATGAATCAAATAATTTGCTTAAGATCCCCATGTCATGTGAATTAGTATTTTTTTTTTTAATTCGCTTAGTACTTAGTTCAATGTATATGATAGTTGAAAAGATAATGGATTGTCAATTTGTAGAATTCCCAAGAAAAGTTGCCTTCCTCTTTGATGAAGTACTGCACTAAAATAATGCTTTCTTCCATATATATGATTTGGTTATGAGGCTTCACATATATATGATCCATGATAAAATAATTTGACAAATCTGTTGATTGTTATTTTTTAAAGATGATTTAGTTTTATTATTCAAATTTTATTTTTCCTTCTTTTTATTTCTCATATACTTATGTACCAAAAAAATATATGGTGAATGTAAGGAGGTAGTACAACATGGATGATTTTGGCCATGACATGAGGAATGAGTTGCAGATATATATATATATATATATATATATGGTGCCCCCACTCGATCCAAAACATTATTAAAGCCTCTCTGGTGATGAGAGATTGGTCAATTTTTTGGATCTTCCTGTACAATTATTGTCTGAGCAGAAGAATATAGTGGACCGACCTCGATTGAGTTATATATGATGTGGAATCACCAGCCTAGCTACTTTTAGTCTGGTGTGAAGATGCTTCAATAATTGATGGCCATAGGGATAGCATTATCTTGCCAAGCATGGATAAAGAAGAAAAGCATACTATCAAACAATTAAGTTGTCATCTAGACTTCAGAGCAATGTTTCTTTTAGCATGTATGTTTCATTCAATTTTATCCTATTGCACTGTGAAAGATTATTTTATGCTTAACCAACAAATGTGTGACCTGTTGAAACTTTACATAGCCACGAATTGACAACATCAGACGTTGAAGCAAATTCTATGTCAAGGTAGGAAACAAACCAATGGTTGGACCTTTTCAACATTATCGTAATATGTGTTTCAAAACTACTCTATTGGTCCCATAGATATAACTTTGACGGCTTTTAATTCGAGGGGAAAAAGAGAATAGGAAAAGGCAAAAAATTCGTCGTCTTTAATGGCCTTTGATCATGTACGAAGCAGAAGAAAGCAGTAGGCATTTCCCTTTCATTTTCAAAAGTTGACGATTCTCTTGCTGACATCAAAACATGGCCTTTTTTTAACATTTAAAGGGATACAAATTATCCACGTAAATCCACTATTCTCACTCCACGTGTTCGTTAAATATAGGTTCCTTGCTCATGCTTGGAAACAAATTCTTTGATGTAGCATGGTAGCTAGCTAAAGAATGAAAGCAAAATTCTTTGCTCAAATCCCACCCACCCTCCTCTCCCTGGAGGAAAAAAAAAACATTTTAGCTTGTTTTTACATATACATATATATCCCGTCACAGGCTACACAAACAAAAAGAAAACAATAAGACAGACAGTGAAATTTGTTAGCAGATATGTCTTGTATTGTGCCTCTGCTAGCTTTAGGACGATCGAGTACTCAATTTTGAATGTATCATCCACAGTGGCTTGAAAAAAAGCTTATCATGTGACACCATCGCTGTTCTATTTCAGTTTGATTATATATTTCCCCAATCTCCCACCATTCCTTGAATTAATGGAGTACAATCTAAAGAATGATACAATGTCTTCTGCCTTGGAACTGATTTCCAGGACGAATACTTTTGATAGATTAGAAGGAACACACTCCATTATTTCCGTAACTATTATCTCTCTGATCTCCTGTTTGGAAGTCTCCAAAGATAGAACAGCTATCATTCCAGGAAATTATTGTATGCTTACACTGTACAAGTTACTAGATAGAAAGCACAAGATTATTGTGTCCTTTGAAACCCTGGCAGGGGCTTATTCCTCATGGATTTCAAGTTGCTGATTTATTAAAAGGTGGCCAGAATTTGAGACAGCTGATTTGTCAGAATCGACAGCAGCAGGAGGAGCATAAATGACCCCCCGAATGTAGGCTGGAATTGCCTGAACTGCAAACAGGATTAGGCACATTAACTGGCTAGGAGCCACGCGTTTTCCATTGATGGATAACTTTAGCAACTTCTATAAATTCAAGCAAAGAATAGTAGAATATCAAACATCCTACGTGTAGGATTGATAAATTATGGGAATTTAGATTAAGAGAGTCACATAATTAAATTAAACAAGTGAAAAAAAAGATCATATTAAGTATTTTGATATAATTATATCTAAATATTTAGTTCGATAATTAGTGCATGATTCTATTACTTAAAGAGTATGTTACACATCTCTCATTCTTTAATTAAAAAATATTTGATATAAACTCTGCAAAATTAAGGAAAACTGAAACAAATCCCAAGTACATTAGCCATAAAAAAAGATTTAATATTCTTTTACGAGTAGATAAAATCTACATACTCGTATAGGAGTACTGTCTTGACAATTGCTATAGTAAACCCAATTGGCTTGGTGAATGGGAACAATAGCGCCTTATATACTCTTGACAAGACAATGACATCAACAATATGCATGGAACTTAGAATTTGAAAAGTCAAAGTCCATGCACAAACGATCTTTTTCAAAGGTTACTTGCCTATCTCGCATATATATAGATTCCTAAAATAGATGATTTCTTTTAAAAAATAATAAAAATAAAGAGAGGCCAAGTTTTTTCAAGTTCAATCTCAATCTAAATCCTATATTTGAAAGCAAAGGGCCAAAGGATGATGGAAAGAATTAATAGAGATCAGCCTTGGAACCACAACTTTCTCAACCCTTTTTTTTGACATATATATTTCAGTAAGTTCAATTTGAAGATCAGAAAACAAACTAACAGGGTCAATTAAAACTCTTTCATTTCTGTCTTTCAAAGGTTTGAAGTCAAAACTTTCAAGTTTCCTCTCCTGATGATCATCATGCATGTCCGATTGCTCTGTTTTTCCTGATCTACTTTGTAATTGGTATTGGAATGGAGAGAGCCAAATAAGCTGCGTATACTCGATGAAGTGGCTAAAATGTCACATTTTTTACTCTCTAAAGGCCAGTCATTATTTCATGGCGAGCCAACCGCTTAATCACTTCAATTCTTTATTATTGATTAGCTGATCTCTACTGTCCAGTTGTGACTCTCCAGTTGTGGGACGTGGCCTACGACTGAGTAAAAAAATCAACAAAGTCGAAAAATCAACTCGAATCAAGCTATTTGGATTAATTTAGTTCAGATTTTAAATACTTGGATTCAAATTCGGATAGATGACATTATCAAACCGTAAAATTTTGAATCGGTTCATTTTTTTTTTTTTAATTAAAAAAACCCAAATTAACTCAAATAAAACCTAAAAATTAAAGTTTGAAAATAAATAATGGCTCAAAAATCCAATTCAAATTTAAAAGCTTTAAAACCCAATTAAAAGCACTTAATTTTGTACCCATTTATCTTAATTTTTTTACCAATTCACCTTTTGGACAATTCAAACATCCATTAAAAATTAAAATTTTTAAATCATTTTTTGTTCTCATCATTTCTCATGTGTCGACATTGCTCCTCTAAACCCAAATGATTTCATTCTCAATCTCTTTCAATCTTTGACTCTCGTGACATTCCAAGCCTCCAACGATCACCTCCAAGTGCTCTCCTCCCAAGTTCCCACACAGCATATCATTATCTTCAATCTCTTTCTGTCTTAGTTTCACACTTTCTCTCGGCCTCATCTCTTACCTCATATAATTATGGTATCTTTTATTCTTACAGTCTAATTGCAAGAAACATCATGGATCTTCAATCTTATTGTACAAATTTCACCTCTTTGATTTCTTTATTTGAACATGATTTATTGTTATTTCCTTATTTTTGCCTTGTTTTCAATCTTTTTTGTTCATTGATTTTCCTGCAAATTGATTTTAATATAGGTAGATTCGAATAATCGTTTCAAACTAATTTAAATTTATGTGAATTAATTTTATTTAAATATTTTTTATATGAATCATGAAATAAAATATTTATATAAATCAAATCAAATAAAAAATTTAAAATATCTAAAACAATCCGATCTGGATCACTTTACGTGGCCCTAAGTTCTCGAGAGGAAAATCCTTCAAATCCCTTAAGCGTTGTCCTCTTGTTTAATTTTGACGTTACATTTATCATGATTATGTCAGCTGTTACAACATGCAACGTGTGTAAGGTCTGATCTCATGTTCCATCTGTAAATTTGTCCTAATTAATAAAAGATGGAAATTAAAGGAACAAAAAACAAAAAAAAAGTTTCATCATTGTAGAAGAGATTTCTTGCTATAGTTTTGGCATTTCTACATGTGTTACTATGGACTGAATTCATTAGTATCTGATCATCGTATCAGAAAATATTTGATAAAATCATTCCAACAA